TGGAAACAGAGTTGGGTATCCTGGTACCCATGGTCATTATTTTTCTCTTGTGTAGAAGGGGATGGGAAGAGTGGTGTTCCCAAGGCTGGAGCCATAGTATGAAGCCAGAAAACCTTAACATGGTAGCATGGGAAGTTGGGAGTCCACATAACTGTGGAAGTCCATGCAAGTCAGGGACCACAGGTTTGAAGGGGTTTAGGACAGATTTTCAGACTTTTCATTCAACCTCCTTCCAATAAGCCATTCAACCTACTTGGATCCCATCATGAGAGAGATTTATTTTTAATTATATGCTACAATATAAGGCCTTATAGATGTTCATAGGCACCACGTTCACATGCTTTGGTATATGAAAACTCTATGTGCTACTGAATGTGCCTCTGAATTCTAGTGTCCTTGGGTTGGCAATTGCTTATATGCCTGAATTGTTTACATTAAGGGTGTATGTACACCATGTGTTGAAGAGTTATATGGTTTGGGGCAGTATTTGCATTAGGATTGCCTTGCGGATATGTGTGTGTGTGTATGTGTATGTGCTCTGGGAAAGTGTATGTGTGCGTGTGTGTGTGTGCGCGTGTGTGTGTATATACACACATACATATATACATACACACACATATATGTATGGGTTTTAGGTGTATGTGGGTATGGAACAGTAAATTCTGATTTTGGTTCAGAAATATCATATTATAGGCAAATACTGTATATATTGTGTCTTCCCTGGAGACCATAAACACCATTGTTTGCTCCTGGGGTGACAGATGCTATTCATTTTCCGGCTGAGAGTGCCTCAGAATTTTTCTGGGCCCTGAGTCTCTTTTGGGACCTCTCACATCACTTAGGAGTGGGAGAGCACTTATCTCGAAGTTAAGCATTCTTTACCTTCTGAATTTCTAGCCTGGATCCAGAAAGAGGAACCACAGCCCTTCCTTCAATAGCACTATCTATGAAGTGGTAAGATTCTGGAACTCCTCAATGGGTTTAGTGTCTGTGGCATAGCCCTGAAATCTAGCCATGAAAGGGTACACTTAGGAAAAGGTCATCCACATGGTCTCAGAGTTGTAGGGAATTTAGAGATCTTCTAATGCAAGCCTCTGTTTTAGAGATGAAGACACTGAAGGCCAAGGAGAGTGAGGGTCTAACCCAAGATCATGTTGCGTGTTTAGATACGATACTTATCGGGCAGCTTGGGTTCTACGTTAGGGCTGTCCCCAAGCTAGTTCCCAGGCTGTGGGCCACAAACTGGACATCTCCCCTTTCCAAGAATGGTTGCGGGAGGGGTCAGAGAGGGAAGATAAAGCACTCTAAATGATTTTCTAAAATTAGCAAGTCTTTGGGAGCCATTGCAGGACATAGGTGATCTTAATTTTCTTCAGGAGTGGACACTATTCAAAGATGACCACTGAGCCTGGTGGCTGAATTCCCATCAGAGCTTTTAGAGACTGGGAAGGAGGGACTCAACATTTCTTGGGAGTTTATTATGGATAAGGTAGCCTGCCAGTGTCTTCACATGGATTATTTTATTTAATCTTCACAGAATGCTACAAGATAGGTATAATTATACTTTCCATTTATACTCAGAGAAACTAAGGCATGGAGAGCATCCCTCATCCTCCCCCCCGACCCAGTAGCCTCACACTACACCTGAGCCTCCCCACCTGTGGTCCAATAAAGATGCTGCCATTGGTCACAAGGGAGGGGGTGGATGGCTGCCTGCCGGTATTCCTGGCACTTCAGCTATCACCCAACATTAAAGCCAACTGGACAACCTAGGGTCATAGAGGGCACTGTGTAGACTCAGATAGCTTGTGAGGTCATGAAAAAGCATATATGGTTAAGAGAGCACTGGAATTGGAGCCAGAAGAACTAGATTCAAGTCCCTCCTGCACTTCACCCTAGTCGTGGACCCTGAGTAATTTGTTTTACCACTCTGAGCTTCATTTTTAAAATCTGTAAAATGGGGATGGCAATTCATACCCCACAGGATTGTTATAAGGACCTCCCAGTGGAAGTGCCTGAAGTTTCTCCTTTTCTTTTGCAGATTGAAAAGAGTCAACCTAAAGCCCAGAACCCTGCTCGACTGAGCCGCAAAGAGCTGAAGAACTTTGATGTTTATTCCTAGTTGCTGCAGCAATTCTCACCTTTCCTGCACATCAGCATCTGCTTTGGGAATTGGCACAGTGGATGATGGCACAGGAGTCTCATAGAACAGCTCCTAGTTTGGAGAGGATATGGAAATTTGTTCTTGTTTTATATTTTGTTTTGAAAATGATGTCTAACAGCCATGGTAAGAGCAAGGCTGTTAAATAATATCTTCCAGTTTACAAATCAGACATGAATGGGTGGAGGGGTTAGGTTGTTCACAAAAGGCCACTTTCCAAGTATTTGTAATCTAGGAAGTGTATGTAAGTGATGTTATCAGCATCGAGATTCTGTCCACCTGATTTTCAAGCTGTCCCTTGTCTCCTTTTCTCCTCAATCTGGGTTGACTGCATTTCTAGACTCTCCCTGGGCCTGGGCCTTCCAAAGCAAGAGGAAGGAACGATAATGGTGACTCAGGGGAAGAGGAAGCAGCCCTCCGCTGAGAGCCTGGACTGTCTGGCTGTGAGCTGCCTGGCAGGTTCTGCACCAGGAGCCAGGGCCTGGGCTTCTCAATTGCAGAGAAAAAAACTTTCCCCCTACATCTCACACCTTTACCTCTGGCCAGTTGGCCACCAGGGGGAGTAAGCTGAAGGGAGAGTAGATGGTGCAAAGCAAGCCCATCTCTGAGTAGAAAAATCACCCGAGCACATGCCAACCTGATAATTGGGGGTTGAGACCAGCTTTGTCCACGGTATGATGTTTGATTTATGAAGACACATTGTTAGAAATCCATTTTGGCTTCTTCATAGAAGTGGCTTCCCAGAGGAAGAGGCCTCTCAGAAGCCATGTTCTATTTAAGTTCTGAGTCCTGATGAGTGCTCCCTAGGTGCACTGATGAGGGCTCAGGCAGCTGAGAGCTGAGCATGAGGCAGTTGGAATCTAGACACTATGCTGGGTTCCCTGAGTCGTCAGTCCAGACATTTCAACAAGGCTGTGGGGAGCAGGGCGGAGACTCTGGCTGGGCCCAGGAAAGGGACAAGGGTGAACTGGGAGAGGACTTACTCAGAGATCCCAACAGGTGATACTGCACAAAGCCTGGTTCTTCAATTGTCCTACCCTGTATCTAATACAGGAGTTTCATATAAAACTGTGATATCGTGCAGATGCAGTCTGAATTCCTTACCTGAATTAAATTTATCCTCTCCATATCCTGCATTTTTATTCTCTATAGCAGCCAAAGGACACTTGTGGGCCGTCCATAAACATGTCTGTTTGAATACTGCTGTAGAGGGTCTGGCTTTCTGGTGAGCTGGCAGTGTCCTTCAGCCCTGTTCGCACTGGGACAGCACAGAACCAGGCACCAGGGGCTATTCCATCTTGTGAAGGAGAGCCAAGGCATGCACTTGCTCACACCCTGCAGGATCCCTCCCCCCTGAGACTGTGCTGCTGGCCAGGCTGGCTTCCTCCTGGAGAAAAGTGTGAACAGATGACATCTTAAAGCAAGTGTGAAGCTTAAAAACCAGGGAAATATATTCAGAAGGAGTCTGGTACTGGGAGTTGAGTTGCAGAGTCAAGGAGTTCAGTGAGCAGAGGCAGCAGGAAATAACGGGGGTCAGAAACAGTCCAGATGAACACCAAGGACTCTGACCACTAACTGCTGCTGGCCTTTCACGTGTCCTGCATAGATCTTGAACCGGCCAGATTTATTTAAGGAGCAGAAGAGACCCTATGGGGTCAGGGCTTTTGAGGATGCAGTATTATGGAAAGAAAGATGTACAATATCACCATGTTATATGTCTGATTGTTGAGCTTCCCTGATAATGTCTCACAAAGATAATTATCCATGCAACAAGCCAGTCAATGAACAAGCAGTAATTAAGCTCCTGCTGTGTAGGAAGCACTGCTTGAACCCCTGGGAGTACCCACTGCAGGTAACAAAAGCCATACTGATTCCAGGCCCATGTGCAGGAGAGCATGACAGAGGCAGCACACAATGAAAGGACCTAGATGGGCTGCAAGGTGATGGTAACAGAAATGTTCGCTAGAGTATCATGAATATAAGTCAAGCATAGTGCATCTTACAGGCAGAGGAGAGGGCTGTAGCCACAGTCTTGGGGAGAGATACTGTGGGCATTCTGTATCCAGACTGGACAATAAGGAGGGAAGTTCTTTTAGGTAAATATGGGAAGCTCATTTGAAACAGGCATTTTAAGCACCTTTACAAAATAGCAAAAGAGTAATACACACATACGGTTTAAAAAACTCCAGCAGTGCAAAAAATTGTGCGGTAAAAAATGTCTCTTTCCCAGCTTGAGATTCCCAGTTCCTTTCCAGAAGCAGCCACTAATGTTTTTTGTATTTCTTTCCAAAGCTTTTCTATGCCTGTGTAAGCATGTAGACTTACATTTTTTTCTTTTCTTTCTTTCTTCTTTTTTTCTTGAGATAAAGTTTTGCTCTGTTGCTAAGGGTAGAATGCAGTGGCGCGAACTCTGCTCACTGCAACTTCCACCTCCCAGATTCGAGTGATTCTCCTGCCTCAGCCTCCCAAGTAGCTAGGATTACAGCCATCAGGCCAAGCTAGTTGTTTTTTGTATTTTTATTAGAGACGGGGTTTCACCATGCTGACCAGGCTGGTCTTGAACTCCTGACCTAGAGTGATCTGCCCACCTTGGCCTCCCAAAGTGCTGGGGTTACAGGCATGAGCCACCGCGCCTGACCAACGTACAGTTTTTTAAAAATCCAATTGGTAGCATACAATACACATGGTCCTGAACTTTGTTTTTTCCACTCCATAATGTATCTTAGAGCCCATTCCATATTAGCACCTATTAGTCCTTGCTTGCTTTCCAAGCGGCAGGGTTTGCCGTTGCATGGGTATATAATCGTATATGTAACTGGATTCTCACCAAATGGACATCTAGGTTATTTCCTGCCTTTTATTTTAAATAACACTGCATGAGCATGATTTTACGTACATCTTGTGTCATGTGTGACAATTCTCTTGGGTTCATTTCAGCAGTGTTGAGAAGGTGGTGTAAAGGTCAGCTGGTCCAGGTCCCTCAGCAACATTTGACCAGTCGTGGTAGAATTTCGAGAAGGAAACGCTATGAGTGTGGGAGGTGACAAATGGGGCAAAGACATCTGAAGCCCATAGGCTCCAAGAAGGAGCCTGTGTCTGAACTATTAATGGGCTTGGGAGGCCTTGAGTGTGAGAAGGATGGGGAGGGGCCACATCCAGGCATCTCTGAGGCACTGAGGTGCTTCTGTCTGTGAGCCCCAGGCCCCATGAGGTCCAGCTGACTCTCCAACCCCACAGTCCCGGGAGATGGGCAGCAGCTGCTTTTCCTTTCAGGTGAAATTTTCATAGGTAGGACTTTCAGGAATCTCAAGATCATTCTGTTGTGGTGGCGGCACGACCTGTGAGCCAAAAATCCACAAAGAATATGGTTAATAAAGCCCTGGAAGAGTGAGGCTGTTGAAAGAGGACGGCAAGGCCAGGCTATGACCGGTCCATCCTACAGAAGTAGAATCACATGTGCTGGCCCAGGCATGGCACAATTAACCAGCCTGATGCCAAGCATTTATGGAGGATCCTAATGGGAAAGGCTGTGGGCTGGACGCTCTGCAAGGCCAATGCAAGACAGTTTAGTGCAGCAAATCCAGGGGATAAAAAAATGACAGTGAAGGGCCTTGCCCTCAAGAAGGTACTGTCAAATGATTCCTATCTCTGCCCTAGCTGGAGAAACAAAATAAACATTTATGTGAAGATAATTTAGATGGCAGAGATTAAGTTCCAAAGTAATGGTCCAGACCATTAGTCCCCAAGTTATTCCAAGGGTTCTTAGACTCCCCTGTCTGAGAGTGTTCAGGGAAGGCTCTAAAGGGCAGATGAGCTCTGCACTGACCCAGAGGAGTGGGAGGCTGGGTACCAGCAACAGCTTGGGGATAGCATAAACCTTTGAGATGTTGTGCAGAGAGGTATATCAGAAATAAGAACTAAAGTAGGTTTGAGAATTTCCGGATCAAGTAGGCAGTAATGGCCTTCAGCGATCCAGAACCAGAATTCCTGGTCCTGACAATTCTGAAGACAAGGGACATATCTGTTAAGATTTTGGTTCAGGAAATGCACTGATTTCCACTTACACTGTAGGAGAGGTGGTTTTAGGGGTCTTAAGTCTCCACAGTAGTGTGGGTGCCTTACAGTACTGACCAGACATGTGGTGGTCATTCTGAAACTCAGAGCAGGGACTGACATTCATGACTTTAAGTTTGACCAATATTGACCAAAACACAAAGGGCCAGGCCGGAGTAGAAAGCAGCTCTGGGAATGCAGTGAACAGCACATATTTGGCCTCAGGTTCCAAGGCAAAGTCTCTAGCTGGCTAAGCATTAGACTACTGTCTAGAAGTCAGCATGAGATGGATGATGGTTGAATCAAACCACACATCCCAACGAGTGTTTACTGAGCAAATTCTATCCATCTTTTAAGGCCCAACCCAAATTCCTTTTTTAGGAAGTGTTTCCTCTTTACCACAGTGCAGTGATATCCCCCACCTTCAGTGTCTGAAAAACCCTTAGGAACTGAGCATACAATTTGTTAAGTAGTCAAGTAACCTTAACCCATTTATGCAGGAGGTTGCAATTTTTTGAATTTGTGTGTGAGTGAGAAATCAGACCTTGGCGATTATCTCGAGCAGTAGGATATAAATAACTCCTACATGCTTAGCGTTCCAATAATGGAACACTAGGCATAAATGCAACATATGTATGACCTGTGTGGCCACTTATATGCGGAGTTTTTTCCAATAAACATTACACTGAGTGTGCCTGCCTCTCCTGTCTCCCCTTTTACCTCCTCTATCTCTTTTACCTCTACCACTCTTGAGAGAGCAAGACCAATCCTTCCTCTTCCTCCTCAGCCTACTCAATGTGAAGGGTGAGGATGAAGACCTTTACAATGATCCAAATTCCACTTAATGAATAGTAAATGTATTTTATCTTCCTTATAATTTTCTTAATAATTTCTTTTCTCTAGCTTACTTTATTGTAAGAATACAGTATATAATACACATGACATGCAAAATATGTGTTAATCGAATGTTTATGTTTTTGGTAAGGGTCTGGTCAACAGTAGCCTATTAGAAGTTAAGTTCTGGAGAGTCAAAGTTACATAATGATTTTTGATTGCATGGAGTGGGGTGGGGTTGGCACTCCTAAACCCCTGAATTGTTCAAGGGTCAGCTGCAGTCTTTTCTTTTCTTTTCTTTTTGAGATGGAGTTTCGCTCTTGTTGCCCAGGCTGGAGTGCAATGGTGCTATCTCGGCTCACTGCAACCTCCACCTCCTGAGTTCAAGCAATTCTCCTGCTTCAATCTCCTGAGTAGCTGGGATTACAGGTGCCCGCCACCACACTCAGATAATTTTTATATTTTTAGTAGAGATGGGATTTCACCATGTTGGCCAGGCTGGTCTTGAACTCCTGACCTCAGGTGATCCACCTGCCTCAGCCTCCCAAAGTGCTGGGATTACAGGCATGAGCCACCAGGCCTGGCCAAGAGTTTTTTAAAACATATTTTTTTGAATATGTTATAGGGAGGGAATTTGGGGGAGATTTGAAAGCAGAAGTATGAATAGACCGGATGTTTTCAGGAAAGTGAAAATGGAGTGGACAGTCAGATCAAGGTGAATTATTTAAGATTACTCAGGATTATCTTAAAACGCCTCATTTTCCAACTACTGTCTTTGTGACCTTAGGCAAAATTAACTTCCTTGAATCTCAGCTTCTTCGGCTACAAAACGTGGATGACAACACTTTTCTAGAGATATTACAAAGATCAGAGAAGAATGTGTATCAATGTATTGTATCTGTAAAACTTCATATAAAAGCAAGTTAGTTATTATTATCATTATGATTATTTAATGATAAATTCTACCTGTAAGGGATTTTTTTTTTTTTTTTTTTTTTTTGAGACATGGTCTCACTCTGTCACCCAGGCTGGAGTTCAGTAGCATGATCTTGGCTCACTGCAGCCTTGAACTCCCCGGCTTAAGCAATCCTCCCACCTCAGTGTCCTAAGTAGCCGGGACTATAGGTGTGTACCACCATGGGCCTGGGTAATCTTTTTTGCATTTTTTATAAAGACGGAGTTTCACCATGTTGCCCAGGCTGGGATTTGTGTTTTTTTTGTTTTTTTGTTTTTTTTGAGATGGAGTCTCGCTCTGTTGCCGAGGCTGGAGTGCAGTGGCGTGATCTTGGCTCACTGCAAGCTCTGCCTCCCGGGTTCACGCCATTCTCCTGCCTCAGCCTCCGAGTAGTTGGGACTACAGGGGCCCGCCCCCAAGCCTGGCTAATTTTTTTGTATTCTTAGTAGAGACGGAGTTTCACCATGTTAGCCAGGATGGTCTTGATCTCCTGACCTTGTGATCCACCCGCCTTGGCCTCCCAAAGTGCTGGGATTACAGGTGTGAGCCACCGCACCCAGCTGGGATTTTTTTAAACACTAGAATAAAACTAACGTACTGTAGGTAGTGGCATATTTTCCAAAAATTCTTGTTGTTAAATTGTGAGCTAATTTTCAATGATTTTGAGAAGCTGCCATTTAGGTAGATTAGGATTAGGGTTGGAGATAGAGTTAGAAAACTATAAAGACCCTACCTTGTTTGAGTTTATAAGCTGTCATTCAGGTCAGTGTTAAAAATAACCAACATAAGATATTATTAAATCAATTAGAAATGTTCAGCCTTTGGTCATACAGATATCAGGAATGTTTGTTTACACATTTCTGTTGACCATGGAATGTATCTGAGGGGTGCATAGTAGGTAGAATTTAAGATCCTTAGCCGTGGGAATCTAGGATTTTCAGTTCAAAGGGTCTAAGGAATAGTTCCTCACTCTGTGGGCCTTGGGATACAGAGAAAGTTGTTCTCACCGTCTGAGGTTTCTGTATGGAGTAGATTGTGGCTGAGCTCTCTTCCATCTGAGAAACTGGGGTCTTTCCCTGTAACAGACCAACACCAGATGAGCCCTAGTGACCCCACATGAGAGCTTTTCAGTTTTACCCTCAACCCTTGAGGAGAAGGGATACCCCCCAGCTTCCCATCTCACACAGAGGGTGGGAGCTGCCTTAGTGCAGTGGGGACGGTGCCTCTGCTTCTCCAACACCTCCCTTTTTAGTGGCCTAAGAATGAGAGCTGAGGGAGAAGTCCCTCCTTCCACAGGATCCCAAGGTTGGGTAAACATGGACACAGCCATGAGTCCCTGCCCATGTGCCCCTAGTCCTGTTTCCAGGCCCCAGCCCCCAGTTTGGAGGAACTAGTCAACCAGGATCTCAGATGCTGCTAGATGTGGGAGGAGGAGGAAGGTGTATTGATCAGAAGGGCTCACCTGTAAGTTGAAGAACACTTGTGCATACATGGTGTTCTTTCCAACCACAGACTCAACTTCTGTGACATATGGAGTGACGGGATCATAGTCTGCTTGGCCCTTAGGGGCTGGGTCATGTCCAGCACCCTCCTGAGTGACCTGGTCACACACCTCGTCTCTTCCATTGATGGGCTTGTGCACCTTGGGCTTGTCCGCATCCTCCTCAGTTGTGATGTTGCTGTCAGAGCTGCTGTCTGAGGCGGGCCTAGGCCGTTGCCTGGCAGGCCTGAGGGGAGTGTCCAGCTTCTCACACTTTTGAGAGAGCACAGAGTATAGCATGTGGCCAGCTGTGGGTTCTGGAACACCTTGTGCAGGGCTGATAAAAGTATGCCAACCCCACCACTCTCTTGCTTTGCTGCAAGGCCCCAGCCTGCTCTGACGCTTGCATTGGATGAGGCCTAGAAAACTGAGGGAGATTGTTTTTTTCCTGTCTTCCCTCAGGGAGTCCATTCCACTCTCCCTTCCTCCTTTCAAGCATTCATTTATTCATTCATTTGATCAATATTAAATATGACATGTGATAGACTTTAGCAACTCTCTGGCCCTGTGGGATACACCATGCCAAGCATCATGACAGGTACTCTGGGGAAACACAAAGGTAAACTGGACCCGGTCCTGGAGGAGCACCCTGTCTAGCTGGGGAGTCGTGTGCATGTGTAAACCAGTAATGTAAGGCCAGCTTTGCCAAGTATTCCATGGAACATACGAGGAAAGTGCAGAGTTGAGAGGAGATGACTCTGGTTAGAGAAGCAGAGAGGAACTCATGAAGGTGGCAGAATTGAGGTGGGTCTTGAATAGGGATTCAATATTTCGATGAGTGGAAGGGTATTCTAGGTGGAGGAGGGAGCAGCATGATTAGAGGCAGGTGTAAAGCCTGGAGCAGTCTCCTTTTCCAAAAGGGTGATATTAAAAATACTTAACAATTGCAATGGTCAGGGCTTAGGCAATCAGCATGGGCACCTGTGAACACTGGCATGGTGGACACGCTGTGAGGGCTGGTGTGGCCCACTGGGTGGATATGCTGTGAATGCTGTCACGGCACACTGGGTGGATGTCAACCCTGCCTGTGGGGCACGTGAAGTAGCCCATTTTGATGTAGGAGTTAAGAAGAAATTACTTAGGCAGATAGTAAGGGTATGGGAGTCCTTGGTAAGGCTTTTCTTTCTATTGAAAAGCAGCCCCAAATCATTTTCCAACAAAGAGCAGCCTGCAAGCTGGGAGCTTGCATGGGTGAATGCCAGCAGGGACTAAGGACTAGACATTTTCAAAATGGTGGCTCCATCTTCCCTTCTCTGCCAGCCACTGGTATTGTAAGGAGCATATAAGATGCATATAAGATGGTGGCGATCAACTGGAAAATCTATTTGCATAAGAAGATTAGGGTGGGGGAAGCAGCCTTCCCCAGGCACTATGTAAACGTCATACCTTATCAAACCAATCTGTGAGCCCTACGTAAATCAGACGCCACCTCCTCAAACTGGACTATAGAACTCGGCACATTCACCAGCAGCCGGTCCCCACCCTGAGACCCCTTCCTCCATAGAGGAAGCTGTTTCTCTTTTTCTTCTCTTCTACTTATTAAACCTCCGCTCCTAAACTCCTCGTGTGTGTCTGTGTCCTAAACTTTCCTGGCAAGTGAGGACAAACCCTGCGTTTATATCTCAGACAACATAGCCCCTTCGATTTGACCTGATGCTCATATTTTTTAGTAAGTGCCTACTATGTGCGAGGCACTGTTCTAAATGCTTTTCATGAATAAGTTTATTTAGTCTGCATAAAACCCCATGAAGCATAAAGAATAACTATCCGTGTTTATTTTTTGTAGATGAGGAAACTCGAGCACATAAAGATTAAGTATTTGCCTGAGTAAGTGGTAGGGCCAGGATTTGAACACAAGTAGTCTTATCCCTGATGCTCTTAACCGCTGCTCAATCCTGCCCCCTCCCTGCTGACCCCTCTTTCTCTTTCGCTCAATACTGAGTGAAAATAGGTAGACACCTTCATTTTGGAAGGTAAGAAAACTGAGGCTAAGGGATTCATAAGGAGAAGAGCTAGGGTTTGAGCACAGGATTGCCCTACCTCAGAACCCATACACCTGACCACTTGGTTATATTGCCTTTTGAACAGACAAAGGCTATTAGGAGCTATTGAGGGTTTTAGAGAAGTCAGTTGAGCTTGGCAAAGTGATGAGAGGGAATAGTCTGTAAGGAAACTATTAGCATATTTTAGGAAAGAAGTAACAAGGAATGAGAATGACTGTTAATAAGTACTGGCAAAGTAAATTAGTTAAAACGAATGTGTAGAATAGAATAAATGGGAGTCAGTTTTAATCTACAAATGTTAATATTGCTGGGATGTACTGGTAAGATCAAAAAGCAAGGTTTAGAAAAGTGTTATAGATTGCTCCCATGTGTGAAGTTAAAGGAACACCCTTCCCACACAAATATGTATGAAACCTGCAAATGAATTAAAAGTTTCTGAAAGGATTCAGGTCTGTAGAAATCTCAGCAGTGGTTGTCTGTTGGGGGAGAGACTTAGAACTTGGAGATTGGAATTTGGAAAGAGAGCTACTTTTAACTGTATGCCATGTTAATATATGTCTTTTTTTTTTGAGACAAAGTTTCACTCTTTTTGCCCAGGTTGGAGTGCAATGGTTTTCAAGCAAGCATTATTCTAGGCAAGAGGTTATAGCAGTACCTGAGGCAGACAGTCCCTCGGTAGAGAGGTTTATGGCTTGCCCAGTGTCACAGAGTTTCAAGTGTCTGACCTGAGGTTCGAGTGCAGATCCTACAGCGCCCTTAATCGCCACGTTACACTGCCCCTCTGTAAATGATATGAGGAGACTTCCAGATTCCTGTTAAGCTGGACTCTAGATCTGTCTGCCAGACACAATCTGACCCAACATTGTCAGATCCTGGGTAGACCGTACCTTTTTTCTACTTCCTTTTATGGAAGAGCAGAAGATACAGCTTAGGGTTCAAATCCAGTTTTTACGGTGTGACCTTGGGCAAGTCCCTTATCTTTTCTGAGCCTCAGTTTCTTTACCCGTATAATGGGGAAAAATGAGAGTATCTACTCTGTAGGATTGTTGCGAAGATTGTGCAAAAATGCATGAAGGCCTAGAATAGTGCTTGGCATTTAGTAAGGGCCACTGGGGCTTCTTTTCTAGCTCCCACTCACACAGCCTTTGTTCCTGGGTGGTCCACATCCCTTTCCACATCAGCTTCATATCAGATTTTCTCTACAAGCCTCTAACTCTGTGCTGTTCAATATGGTAGCCACAAGCTATGCATAAGCCCTTGAAATGTGGCTAGGATTACTGAGACACCAAACTGCTTCTTTTGTTTAGTTTTAGTTTTAATTTATAAATGGCTACTCAATTCCTTCTTGAAAAACTGATAAGTGTGCTTGGAATAACTTGGGTGCATACATCTATTTTTTCAACTGTAATTTTACAAAGTCTGAATATAGATTAAACACTTTCAGTGAAAATTTAGCATTGGAATAGAGATGTGCTGTAAGTGTAAAATACATACTGGCTCTCAAAGACTTAGTACAAAATAAAATGTAGTGTCTAATGAGTTTTTTTGTGTGTTGAATACACATTGAAATCATGATATTTTGGATATATTCAGTTAAATGAAATATATTATTAAAATAACTTTATTTCTTCTTGCTTTTTCTAACATGGCTATTAGAACATTAAAATCACATGCTTGGCTCTCATGTATCTGTGGAAGCATGCCACTCTAAAGAGCTCTCACCCACAGCCTCCCACTGCACTTCATAAAGAATCAGTCAGGATGCAAACTCTTGGATCTGAGGCCCCGAGGCCCCGTGGCCTGAGTAAATAGAGATGGAGAGAAACCTGAACAGATGTTCTCAGAAAGAAACTGGTGGGAACTGTTGCTGACAGGGTTGCTGGCTGTGCATGTGAGGTTGGGGTGATTTTTACCACTTCTCCATGAGACGTTGAGGTGTGATTCCCCTTGGGACACAACAGCTCCCTTCTGCAGCAGGGTCCATGTGTACATGACGGCATTTCCCCCATCCTTCACGGAGCAGGTGAGGCTGACCCTGCAGATGCCATCCTTGCTGTGCCGGAGGCGCCACGTGATTTTGGGCTTCACCAGCCTCCCTGTGAGAAGAGAGGCAGACTCCGTGTGGAATCAGGCCTGCCCCCTGGGCAGTCATCTGTCTTCGTTCGTTAAAAATATATTCATGAAGCCAAGTGTTGATACTGCTGGCAGAGTGCCTCCAGGAGCCACAGGAATTTTGGAGTACACCTGGCATTTTCCTCCCTACTTGTGACATCTCAGACACACCTCTTTACCTCTTGATGCTCAGGTGAGAAAAAAGGGAAATGAGGAAAAGTGAAGAAAGAAAGATACAACCTCATTCTATACAGTTAGTTACAGCTGTGAAAGCAAGCAAACCAGTCAACACGGATGAGCGCAACACTTCCATGTGCTGTAAAGACCCTTCAAGGCTTGCCTTTGAGGCTGATTTGCTTACTGATGTGAGACAAGGGATGCAGAGAGGCGAGCGCTGTACCTGACAGAGTAAACGCTCAATAAATGTTAGCAACTTTAAAAGAAACAATAAGATTGACTCTATTTGTTTCCTGTTTATTCTTATTTTTACTTAACCTTGTGGGTTTCTTTATATTTGAGGCACTGTGGGCAATAGGCATGGACTTGGCCGACTTGCTGCATATTTTAACAAAACCATGATGGTGACTCTTCACAGATACCTAGACACTGACAAACTCGGGCAGGGGGTAGGCTGACCATGTCTGAATGGCACAGGTGAAGGAACAGGTAAACATAAACCATGCAAATTGCCAAGCCAAGCTCCCGTGAGGCCCAAGGCTGAGGAGGTAGAATGCAAATTCTGTTCCACACGTCCAGGGGAGCTGAGTGGCCCACCTTCTTGGAGGCCACAGTGTCTTTGGACATCAAGGGCTTCTCCCCAGTCTTCTCTGATTTCACCCCAGCCAACTCTGGCCTTATTAAAAATGATAATGGTTTATACAAATGCAGGTTGGGGCCAGGTGCCATGACTCATGCCTGTAATCCCAGCACTTTGGGAGACTGAGGCAGGTGGATCACCTGAGGTCAGGAGTTCGAGAATTGCCTGGCCAACATGGCAAAAACCCATCTGTACTAAAAGTACAAAAAGTAGCTGGGTGTAGTGGTGTGTGCCTGTACTCCCAGCTACTCAGGAGGCTGAGGCAGGAGAATCCCTTGAACCTGGAAGTCAGAGGTTGGAGTGAGCTGAGATCGTGCCACTGTACTCCAGCCTGGGTGACTGACTTTATTTTTGAGATGGAGCATGACTCCATCTCAAAAATAAAAAAATGCAGGTTGGTGAGTTCCCAGCCCCCCCCCTCCTTTTTTTTTCTTTTTAGACAGAGTCTCGATCTTTCTCCCAGGCTGGAGTGAAGTGGCATGATCTCAGCTCACTGCAACCTCCGCCCCTTGGGGTTCGAGCGATTTTCTTGCCTCAGCCTCCGGAGTAGCTGGGATTACAGGCGCCCACCACCGCACCCTGCTAATTTTTGTATTTTTAGTAGAGACGGGGTTTCACCATGTTGGCCAGGCTAATCTCAAATTCCTGACATCAGGTGGTCCACTTGCTTCAGCCTCCCAAAGTACTGGGATTACAGGTGTGAGCTACCGCACCTGGCCTCCTAGTCCCTTCTGAGACTCAATGCAGAAGGACCAGGGCAAGCACCTAAAGTTGGGTGGTAGAGGCCTAACTGGCAGCCTAGAACCAGGGGCACTTTGGCAGGTAGACTTGTCCAGCAGCTAGTCATGAGTTTTCCTCCTGTGAATCAACTGGTGTGAACTGAACAGCTGTCCTAGTGGTCTGAGGCATTTCAGTCTGAGGGAAGACCCTTGGAGAAGGGGGAGGTGGAGAAGGCAGCAGAAGAGAAAGCTTTCAGAGAAGGAATCTAATGATGGGTGCCCTGCCCAGAGACTCACGGTAGATAAGCAGGGTGACATGTGTCATGCTGGTGACTCTGGAGGCCTCTGAGCACACGTAGGCACGGTAGGGGCCGGCGTCCTCTATCTTCAGCTGACTGATCTTCAGGGAGCAGTCCTGACTGGAGACCCACACCCTGTTCTTGTAAGGATCCCTGGATTTAATGAGTGGATCTGCCGTTGCTGCTTCATCCCTCTCTTTGCTGATGACGGATGTGTTAAACAACCAGACAACCTTCTCTGTGTGCCGGCAGGCTGGGAGTGCCAGTGGCAGGGTGACTGGCTCTCCCAGGACCCCTACCACAGTATCCCCTGTTTTTCCTCCTCTGGAGGCTCCTGGATCTGGGGTCAGAGATGAGACATTGCAGCTTCAGTCACTGTCCCTACTCGCTTGGCCTCCAGGCATTCTAAAGGGGACTGAGGGGACTGAAGTCCCTCCTCCCCCTCCTCTTCCTCCTGGCCTCCTCCTCTGAGGGGCATGCCTGCTACTTTCCCATGACCACCTGTTCCACCGGGCTCTGCCCACTGAATACTTGGACTCTCATTCCCCTTCTCTGCCCTTCTGAGGGTACCCGGAAACACCTCCACCCAAGCAAAAACCCATCAGGACTCCTGTATCCATATTGTCTTCTCCTCCCTTGCTCTACCCTTAGAGTATCACGGTGTTCTGGGCTTTCCAAGTCCTGCCAGCCTCTCTCAGGCCCCTGAGAGTAGAGAGTAAGGGGCCTGTCCTCTTGCTTCCCCACCCGCTGTGTGTCCGACCAGAACCCTAGGGTTTAGACTCCACAGTTGCTCACATTGTTTCTGGATTTCCCTCAAGGGCCAAATTGGAGCCAGGTACCTGTACAGAACTGCCCAACATGGACAGGGTGGGAGCTGGTCTGGCTGACGAGGTTCTGGGCTATGCAGGTGTATGGCAGGTCTGGCTCACAGGGCATTCGGGAGATGGTAAGAATGGAGCCTCCATTGGTCTCAGAAGCATGGGGGTCCCTTGGGGTCCAGCTGTACGGAACACTTTTCTCTGCTCCCTTCACGGAGCACATTAGAGTGATGTTACAGGAGAAGTTCTCAGACGCCTTCACAGACTTCATGGTGACTTCGGGCTCCTGCAGCTGTTCTGCAGAGACAACAGCATGGGAAGATGCTCAGTTCCCTTTGCCAGCAGAAAAGCACTGAAAGAAGAAAGGAGTGATAATAGTGGAGTTGGGGGCAGCAGAGAGAGGCCAGCAATACCAGTCACAGGGACATCTTCTCTGCAGGCTGGGTTGACGGCCTCTCCTCTGTGCTCCCATAACATCCTCTACAGGTGTTATCACCATGACTCAGCATGACTAATAGTCTGATTACTTCTCTTTCTCCCAGACCAGTATAAGAACTCTTTGACGACGGGGCTGATTTCTGTGTCTGAACATCTAACACGCACCTGCCTTATGAAAAATACTCAGGAATGTTCGATGAATAAATAGGTGAACGGCCCAGCCCCAAACACTATGGAGTGGGGAACTGTGCCTCTAGAATTTGAGTTGCCCGTGTCTTTTGGTCTGAATTTAGAATTGTGCTTCTAGCTCTTCTTCCTTGTCTTCTCCTTTCCTTTTGCTCCATCTCCACTGTTCACCATGTATGTGCACATGTGTGAATGTTTCATTAAGCTATATTTCTTTCTTTCTTTTTTCTTTTTTGAGACAGAGTCTCACTCTGTTACCCAGGCTGGAGTGCAGTGACGCGATCACTGCTCACCGCAACCTCTGCCTTCCGGGTTCAAGCAATTCTCCTGCCTCAACCTCCTGAGTAGCTGGGATTACAGGCACACACCACCACACCCAGCTAATTTTTGTATTTTTAGTAGAGACGGAGTTTCACCATGTTGGCCAGGCTAGTCTCAAAGTCCTGGCCTCAGGTGATCTGTCTGTCTTGGCCTCCCAAAGTGCTGGGATTACAGGCATAAGCCACTGCACCTGGCCCAATATTTCTTCTTCGAATAGGTAATACATATAAAAAAATTGAGAAAATACAAAAGGTACATAATGAAAAAGTAAGCTTTCTAGCCTCCAGCCATTTATTTACTCTCTCCAAGAATTACTATTCCTGGAGGCAATTACTGTTATGGGTTTCTTATTGATCTTTCCAGAGATATTCTAGATATAGACAGATATATGCATACTTTACACACTGTTTTGGACCTTAAAAATTAACAGTATAGGCCGGGCGTGGTGGCTCAAGCCTGTAATCCCAGCACTTTGGGAGGCCGAGGCGGGCGGATCACGAGGCCAGGAGATCGAGACCATCCTGGCTAACACGGTGAAACCCCGTCTCTACTAAAAAAAAAAATACAAAAAAACTAGCCGAGCGAGGTGGCGGGCACCTGTAGTCCCAGCTACTCGGGAGGCTGAAGCAGGAGAATGGCGTGAACCCGGGGGGTCGGAGCTTGCAGCGAGCGGAGATCGCGCCACTGCACTCCAGCCTGGGCGACAGAACAAGACTCCGTCTCAAAAAAAAAAAAAAAAAAAAAAAAAAAATTAACAGTATATCTTGGAAATTATTGTATGTCGTATGTCAACACATGTTGATTCATTCTAATTTTATTAACTGCATAGAATTCCATTTCCTTAACAGATACAGAATACCATACAAATCAATGAAAACGATCAAACTACCTGAGAGAAAGATGGTGTTATGAGCTAAACTGTGTCTCTGCAAAGTTTAGATATTAAAGTCTTAACCTCCAGCACCTCAGAATGTGACTGCATTTGAAGATGGAATTATATTTGGAGATAGAAGTAATTAAGTTAAAATGAGGCCGTTAGGGTGGGCCCTAGTCAGATATGAGTGGTATCCTTTTAAGAAGGGGAGATTACAGCGTAGACAATACAGACAGAGGGACACCCATGTGAGGACATAGAGAGAAGGTGGCCATCTAGGAGCCAAGGAGAGAGGCCTTAGAAGAAACCAAGCCTGCTGATACCTTCATTGGCCTCCAGAATTGTGTTCTGGGGAAATGTGGAACACATTTCTATTGTTTAAGCTAGTCAGTCTGTGGTATTTTGTTATGGAAGCCCTAGCAAACTAATACAGATTTTGATACCAGAAGTGGGATGAAGCTCTAACAATATAAAAATGTGAAATGGCTTTGGAACGGGCTGATGGGTAGAGATTGGAAGAATTTTGAGGTATGTGCTAGAAAAATCCTAGATTATCTTCAAGAGACTCTGAGTAGACATATGAATGTTAACGAGAATTCGGGTGAGCACTCAGAAGGAAAATAGGAACACTGCAGGGAAAGCTGCTATTTCCTTAGAGATATACATATGTCATCATGAGCAGAATGTTGGTAAAAAATATAAATATTAAACATATTGCTGGTGAGGTCTCAGACAGAAATTAGAAATATGTTACTGGAAACTGGAGGAAAGGGTATACTTGTTATAAAGTGGCAAAGAACTTGGCCACGTTGTATTCTAGTGTTTTGCAGAAAGCAGAATGTTTAAGTGATAAATTTGGGTACTTAGCTGTGGAGATTTCTAATCAAAGAGTTGAAGGCACTGCCTGGTTTCTCCTTGCTGCTTATATAAAATGTGAGAGGAGAGAGAGAGGTTAAATAAGGAATTGTCAAGCAAGATGGAGCCAGAATTTAAAGCTTTGAAAAAATTTCAGCCTATTCATATTGTGAAAAATGAGAAAGTGTGTCTGGAGAGAACACAAAGATTGTGGCTTGGCAATGTTTGCTAGAGAGGTTATGAGATTGGACCACCTCAGCAAAGTTGCTGCAAGTGTGGACTGTAAAGGACAGAGACAGGACAAATGAAGGAGTGTGTCAGGCTTCTGGGCTTTTATGAAACAAGTCAATATAGCTCATACAGCTGCAAACATGTATTATCCTTCAAGAAAAGGGAACGGTGACCCCACAGGCAGTTCAGAAGTAGGCAGAGATGCCACTGCCACCATTGGCCTAGAGGGCATAAGCCTTGGGTAGGGTGAGGTGGTTTCCTCCTTGATTCCAGCGGGCAGAATTGCCACCCAGGGCCAAGGAGGTGGGGCTGCTATTCCAGTGGGCTCAGAGGATAGAGCATTGAGCCAAAGAGGATTATGTTTGAGCCTTAACATCTAATAGAATTTACCCTGTTAGGTTTTGGACTTGTTTGGGACCTGTGACTTTTTTCTTCTTCCCAATGTCTCTCTTTTGGAATGGCAATGTCTATTCCATGCCTGTTCTACCATTGAATTTTGGAGGCAGATAACTTGTCTGGTTTCGCAGGTTCACAACTGAAGAAGAATTTTGCCTCAGGATGAATCCTATCGCAAGTCTCACCCATACCCGGTTTAAATAATATTTGGATAGATTTTGGACTTAGAGTTGATGCTGGAATGGGTTAAAACTTCTGGTGTTGTTGGAATGGGGTGAATGTATTTTGCATGTGAGAAGGACATGAATTTTGAGAGGCCAGAGGGTAGAATGTTAGGGCTGAATTCTGTCCCCCCACAACATTCATATGTAGAAGTTCTAATCCCGAGTACCTCAGAATGTGACTGTATTTGGAGACAGGGTATCTAAAGAGGTAATTAAGTTAAAATGGAATTGTTAGGGTGAACCTTAATACAATATGACTGATGTGCTTATAAGAAGAGATTAGGACATGGACAACACAGACAAAGGAATGACTGGGGGCACAGTGAAAAGGTGGCCAACTACAAGCTGAAGAGAGAGGTTCTAGGAAAAACCAAACCTGCCAATACCTTGAACTTGGATTTCTAGTCTCCAGAATTGTGAGAAATAAATTTCTGTTGTTTAAGCCATCTATTCTGGGGTATTCTGTTATAGCATCCCTTTCACACTAATATAGATGAGTAAAGAATATTAATAGAAAGTTACAGAAAAGAGAATACAAATGGCTATTTAATACATGAAAAGATGGCCAGACACAGTGGCTCACGCCTATAATCCCAGCACTTTGGGAGGCTGAGGAGAGTGAATTGCTTGAGGCCAGGAGTTCAAGACCAGCCTGGCCAACATGGCAAAACCCTGTCTTTACTAACAATACAAAAATTAGCCAGGCGTGTGGTGCATGCCTGTAATCCCAGCTTCCTGGGGGGCTGAGACATGTGAATTGCTTGGACTCAGAAAGTGGAGGTTGCAGTGAACTGAGATTGCACCACTGCACTCCAGCCTGGGCAACAGAGCAAGACTGTCTCGAAACAAACATAAAACATAAAACATGAAGAAATGCTCAGTTTAAAACATGAAGAGATGCTTCAATTTAAAATATAAATTTAAACTATGAAATACTATTTTAACTACTCAATTTATCAATAAAGAAATGTTTGACAATACATTGTTATTGAGAATATAAGGAAATATTCTCTCAAACATTGCTAGTGGGAGGGTTACTCGGTAACACGGAGGGAAATCCAGCAATATCTAGCAACATTAAAAATGTATATACTAAGCTGGGTGCAGTGGTGCCTGTAATACTAGCTTCTTTGGAGTCTGAGGTGGAAGGATTGCTTGAGGCCAGGAGTTTGAAACCAGCCTGGGCAACATAGTGAGAACCAGTCTCTACAAAATAAAATAATAATAAATAAAAATTTAGGATTTTAAAGCCAGGCACATGGCTTTACAGGTGGCACATGCCTGTAGTCCCAGCTACTTGGGAAGTTGAGGGAAGGGGATAGCTTGAGTCCAGGAGGTTGAGACTAGCCTGGACAACAAAATGAGACTATGTCTCTATGAAATACTGGTAATACTAGTGGTAATAATAATAATAATAATAATAAAAAATTCAGGATTTAAAAGCTGGGCATGGTGGCAAGTACCTGTAGTGCCAGCTACGTGGGACACTGAGGCAGGAGGATCACGTGAGTCCAGGAATTGGAGACAAGCCTAAGTGACATAGTGGGACGATGTCTCAAAAAAAAAAAAAAAAAAAAACAAAAACGCATATACCATTTGATTCAGCAACTTGACCCCATGTATATATTCTAGATTTATTCATCAGAATATAACCTAGTCACGTAAGCGTGAAAAGATAGGTGCACAAGAATATTCATTGCAGTATTGTTTATAAGAGAAAATATTAGAAACAATATTTCTATAAGCAGAAACAGTATTTCTACAAGTAGGAG